CACCTCTGAACAGGCATTCCAGCCCAGGATGATTGGACTACATTCCACAGTTCTTCTCTATTTCTTGGTTTTGCCTCAGAAACTGCATTTTTGATGTCACCCCACAAGTTTTCTATTGGATTAAGATCCGGGGATTGGGCTGGCCACTCCATAACGTCAATCTTGTTGGTCTGGAACCAAGATGTTGCACGTTTACTGGTGTGTTTGGGGTCGTTGTCTTGTTGGAACACCCATTTCAAGGGCATTTCCTCTTCAGCATAAGGCAGCATGACCTCTTCAAGTATTCTGATGTATTCAAACTGATCCATGATCCCTGGTATGCGGTAAATAGGCCCAACACCGTAGTATGAGAAACATCCCCATATCATGATGCTTGCGCAACCATGCTTCACTGTCTTCACAGTGTACTGTGGCTTGAATTCAGTGTTTGGGGGTCGTCTGACAAACTGTCTCCGGCCACTAGACCCAAAAAGAACAATCTTACTTTCATCAGTCCCACAAAATTTTGCACCATTTCTCTTTAGGCCAGTCAATGTGCTCTTTGGCAAATTGTAACCTCTTCAGCACGTCTTTTTTTTCAACAATGGGACTTTGCGGGGGCTTCTTGCAGATAGCTTGGCTTCACATAGGCGTCTTCTAATTGTAACAGTACTCACAGGTAACTTTAGAGCTTCTTTGATCTTCCTGGAGCTGATTGTTGCCTGAGTCCTTGCCATTTTGGCTATTCTTCTATCCATTCAAATGGTAGTTTTTCGCTTTCTTCCACATCTTTCAGGTTTTGGTTGCCATTTTAAAGCATTTGCGATCATTTTAGCTGAGCAGCCTATCATTTTCTGCACTTCTTTATATGTTTTCCCCTCTCCAATCAACTTTTTAATCAAGGTACGCTGTTCTTCTGAACAATGTCTGGAACAAGCCATTTTCCTCAGAATTTCAGAGAGAAATTCACTGTAACCAGCATGTACAACATTTGCTGCCTTCCTTCCCTAAATAAGGGCAATAATTGCCACCTGTTTTTCAAAGAATGAATGACCTCACTAATAGAACTCCACACTGCTACTATTTTGAACATGCCCCTTTCAATTAGTGATTCAATTACACAGAATCAGCAGCATGCATGTCATGACTGTTGGGTCTGTTGGATTTCTATTTCTCTACTACACCTGCTAGTAAATTATTTGCAATGTAGAAATATAATTTCTACCAAAAACAGTGATTGATCAGGTTAGTGATGTCTGACTGCTATTATTTTGAACACAACTGTATATAGTGCCAGCAGTTTGTGCAGCAATTTACAAAATGAAGGTAGACATAACAGTTACAATACAATTTGGTACAAGAGGAAACAGAGGGCTCTGCTCGTTAGAGCTTACAATCTAGGAACTAACACTATAAGTAATGGTAACATTGGATTAGTGCTATGGATGTATCCACATAATACTTTTCTTACTGGTACTGAAAGTTCTAACTGCTCATTTAGGTCTACAGGACCAGATAAAGCAGTTTTATGTACCTGATCCTTTGCTCCCGCAGGCTTCTCAATGCTGCTAGACTGTTTTGTGCAGCTTTGTCTTCCCTGCACTACAGTGGTCAGATGCCTCTGATGTCATTAAGACCGATGGAGAGCCAGTGCATAACTCTGCACTGGACATGAAGACCCCAAGGAGCAGTCCACTGCTGGAGCACAGAGACGTGTTGTCTGCCAGGGGAAAGGAGGATCAGGTAAATAAAACTGCTTTTACCATTCCCTATATCAAACAAGCATCTAACACTAGCAGATAAGGGAAAACTTTTACCTTGGGTTAGCCATTAAAATGTATGTTTCCAAACTAAAATAATGTCACTATTATTTCTGCAAACAAATGGATATGAAATCTGTAATATTTTCTAAAGTATTACTTCTGACAATTGACATTTTCTACTAAAGAAAATTACACACTGTCCTCTATGCTGAATATGTCAGCAAACCGACTTTGTAAGAAGTGACCGTATTAAGATTCTGTCCTAGGATGTTGCAGATTACAGAAAATTGAATCTTGCAAGGTCAAATCTTCCAGAACTAGCAGTCATGGAAAAATGAATAAAAATAAAATATACATACATAATATAGGATTTGTATAGCTCCAACAGTTTGCATACAATTCAATGCAAAAGGAATTTTAGAACTTACAATCTAAATCTCTATATACATACACATGTACACACAAAAATAAAAGAATAGAATGCTCCAATGTAATTTATTCACAAAATCAGTCAATCAAGAACCCCACACAGAACAGACACTACGATCATTTCATTCAACAGTATTGGGCTTTCTTCATCCCTTCAGGTATGACATATATCAGAGTACAATGTATCTGTTCAAATATTCAAGCAACTGGAAATGGCAAGACATTACCTCTTTGTTAAACACTTATTCATTCATGAATTTGTCATTATGTGGAAGGAGCTGGATACTCTGTTATATAGAATTATTTACAGGAAATATAATAATAAGCAAACATAAAGTAATCTACCCAATATCCTTTGAAATTAATGTTTGGGTTAAAAAAATTGATCATTGTAAGACTAAACCAATAGCAAATCAATAATATATGAGAAATAGGCCTCTCCTGTAACAAATCTATGCAGTATGTATATATCACAAAAATAATTAAAAAGTCTACATTTCAGTGGACCATTGCAGATGTATTTATGCTTGCTCAATTTAAATTGCTGCAGGCATTAGGAATGCATGTTGTCTATGCACTTCCTGTTTCAAAAGGACTTCAATGTCATGGTGAAACTGTAGGCTGAGAAACCTTTACTGTTCCTACATGGAGAAGCATCAAACAGGCATCCACTAGGTATGCTATAGCAGATAACCACACCCAGAGAGCCGCAATGGCCTAGGTCCTCTTGGACTGAGACAGTCAACTTTTTCTGCCAACACCACAACCAAAGTGAGTCTCAAATAGATCCTCCTAGGAGAAGCATGACCCAATAAGGCCCATGTGTGTACCTTGGGACTTTTAGAAGTTGGTGAGCCTGAGACTGAGGGTGAGACAAGGAGCAGGGTCTAGCAGTGGTGCTTTAAAGGGGCAATTTGAAATGGTGTCAGTAAGTGGGCAACAAACAGATAATCATTACACTACATGGGTAACAAATGGGCAAATAAGACAGTGAAGCCTGGTGCACCCCCAGCACTTGCCTTGCTTCTAGGAAGCAGCATGCAGCATATACTTCTTCCTCTGCCTACACATCTTCAGTGAGTAGAGGGAATTACAAAAATGGAGGAGAGAGCACAGCCTGCACCTTCTTCTACTCTCTTTTCAACCTCTCCTTCATTAACTCACTGTTCTCATTGTTCCTGTGGGTGTAAAGGAGACAGAACAGGAGGAAACTCATGGCAGCCTGGAGGCAGGGCAAAAATACTGATCAGCTGAAGTTGCTAGTGTGAGTTAATCTATCTTGGTTCACTGAAGGTGTAATGCTTTATTTTACCATCTATAACAAAACCCCAGGTGATAAGACTTGACAATTTGATGCATGAAGGCTGAGGTCTACACCAGAGGTGGACATAACAAGAGACTTTTGGAATTTAGAATCTCATTTAAAGTATATTAGACAAAGGTCAGGTTTAAATATTTTTCTACTATCACACAGATCTAAAGCCCATTAATAGAGCAGCTGAAAATATACCAATTCAAAATAGATAAGAGTTTCTACTGTTGTTTGACAGTATGGCCACAGGCAGCTTAGCTCTTGAATATGACATAGAAGTTGAATTCAATACAATTTTGTTTCCCATAATTGCTGTACAGAGGTTGTTTTTCCAGTTGTTACTTATTGAACTATAAGAAGACAATGACTTTTCTAAGTCCTATCTCTGTGATGAACTGAAACTAATCAAAGAATGAGAACACCAGGAATAGCTTAACTAGGACTGGACTAACTAGCTCCAAACTGGATGAGGACAATGGAATGCTAATATGGAATATGGGAAAACCAATGTAACAAATAAATATGTTGCTGTGGCTTCGCACCCCTGCTGGATGTCAATAAATGCTACTTACAAAAATAATACAATGCAACACATAGCAAGACCAATAAATCACATGATAAGCGGGACACAACACTACTTGCTTGTTCCTGAGATGTTGGTGGATTTTTTATGGTTGAAGTCCAAGTTGTACAGAACTAATGGATTGGAGGGTTGAGACAAACCATTTAACACTGACAGAGGTACTTACAATGATATTGTCAGGGCTCCCGGGTATGACCAGAGGTGTGTGACTGACGCAGGGAAACGCAGACTTCCGATATGTTATAAACAATATAATTTATTGACACTAACAATACAAACATAAACGCAGTGCAATACTAAAACATAACACAGTGCAAACGAACCAAACCAAACCACCCACAGATAACAGTACATACAATGCAAGTGTCGTCAGGCAGGCCGGGTCAATATCAATCGGGCAGGTAGGTACAGGGGGAGCAAGCGAAGAATGGTCGGGGTCACAAGCCAGGTTCAGCAGGTAGCGGGCAGCGTGGTACAGAGGGTCAGGCAGAGGGATGGTCAGGAACGAGCCGGGGTCAGAGCAGGAGAAGTCAGCAGAGGTCAGATCAGGCAGGGTCAGCAACAAGACAGGAACAGGAACAGGATACAGGGCCCAGGAAAAACACACACCAAGGCAGAGTCTGCAGGTCTGGCCATCCCTTAAATACACCAGTATAAGCAGTTTCAGGTGTTTGGCTGGCTGCAAGGTTGAGTCTCTGATTGCTGGGAGCACCCGCTGGCCAGCCCTGGTACTGCAGCCCATAAGGCAGGCGAGTCCCACCATTGCTGGCCAGTCCATTCCTGACAGATATGCTTTTAACCGCCTCCCGCCCACCATATAAGGTAATGGCCGGCGCAAGATGGTTCTCTCGTTCAGGGAGGACATCAAAGGATGTCCTCCCACTCTAGCCTCGTGTGTGCGCCCCCCGGGAGCACGCAGAGTGGCAATCGGTGGTGTGCTGTGTCCCTGGGACACAGCAGATCACCGATCAACAGAGCCAATGATGTCGGCTCTGTCATGTGATCAGCTGTGTCCAATCACAGCTGATCGCATGTAAATAAGGAAATGCTGGTTATCGGCATTCCACTCCTCACCAGCTGTCACACTGACAGCTCATGAGGAGAGGAGAGCCATTAATCGGCATTACTCAGAGGGGACATGTACACTGATCATCAGGGCACTGATGATCAGTGTGCCCTGATGATCAGTGTAGCCCCATAAGTGCCACCTGTCAGTGTCCATCAATGTCACCTGTCAATGCCCATCAATGCCACCTGTCAGTGCCCATCAGTGCCACATCAATGCCACATATCAGTGCCCATCAATGCCACATATCAGTGCCTATCTGAGCTGCCTTTCAGTGCCACCTATCAATGCTGCCTATCAGTGCCAGTCAGTGCCGCCTATTAATGCCATATATGAGTGCTGTCTTTCAGTTCCAATCAGTGATGCTAGTTAATGTCCATCAGTGCCACCTACCAGTGCCTCCTCATCAGTACCCATCATTGCTGCCTACCAGTGCTCATCAGTGCAGCCTATCAATGCCCATCACTGCAACCTCATTAGTGCACATCAGTGAAGGAGAAAAAAAATCACTTATTTACAAAATTATATAACAGAAACTTAGAAAAAACTTTTGTTTTTCAAAATTTTCAGTTGTTTTTGGTTTGTTTAGCAAAAAATAAAAAACCCAGAGGTGATTAAATGCCACTAAAAGAAAGCTCTATCTGTCGCAAAAAAAATGATAAAAAGTTCATATGGGTACAATGTTGCATGACCGCGCAATTGTCATTCAAAGTGCAACATCACAAAGTGCCCTGTAGGCAAATGATTAAAGTGTAAAGCAAAGTCCAAATAAATCTACTAGTTCATCTAAAACTATCCTTTCCATAATTGCACAATGCTACTGTCCTAAGGTGTCCACATTGCTCTTCCATACTGTAGATACAGCGTAAGCGTGAGCATAGCCACTGACCAGATTACTAGGTGAAAATAAAGAAATAAAAGCCTATAAAATTAAAACAAAGGCAGCCACCACATTCACGATTTGGTAAGCAATAATACTTTGCGGTTTTGGTGTTTGGATATGCTTTAAACTGATGAAAGAGCAAGGCCAAAGATTTATTGAAATAGTACAAATAATTTTCAACGTGGCAATTGTCAAAATAGAACCAATGCCAGTCATGGTAATGCTATGAGAACACCTGAACAACAACAGGATCTGAGTGCCACAAAGGCATCCAACTACCCTATAAGCCACCTGAGGGCAGAAATAACAATCGCTAACCATTGCCAAGATCATACTACCAATAAAACTGTGATGACATTTATCAGATAGAAAGAAAGTGATCTGGCAACCCTTCAAACAGGTGGCTGATCCTCAAGATTGATGCTTATCACAAAGCATTACTACAGTCCAATCCCAAAGCTTCATGTCATAACAACCAATCTAACCAACCAATGCAAACATGTTTTATATAGCTGGTCTCAATCAGTTAAAGTGTTACTAAACCCACAACAGTACAATCAATCTGTATATGCAGTAAAGCATGCTTGTTATACTCACTGTGGAACTTAGGGGGTTACTCCTCTGCATTTTGTAAAAAGGATGTTTGATCCTGACTTCTCTGATCCCCCCCTTCTTCTACTGATAAAAGAGAGCCTTGGGGGAAAGCTGCACATGCTTAGTTTGGTGTGTATTTCTAGAGAGTTTTTTTTTCTTTGGTCCTGTGCTGATCACATGCACTCTCCCAATCAGCACCGTCCACACATAGGGTCAGAGGTCATGCAGCCTCATAGGACAATCAGGAGAGAATGAAAACTCTCCTTATCTCCTAATAAGACATATTGTGTGGAGACACTCTGCACATGCTCAGTTTGGTGTGTATTGCTAGAGAGGTTCTTTTATTTTCTTGGGAGAGTGCATGTGATCAGCACGGCCCTACTCAACACTGTTCAGACAGAGTTCAGGGTTTCTGTATCCTCCTAGGGCAGAATGAAAACTCCATCTACAAGCTTTAACATATGCTTGGCTGGACACTGATAGAAGTCACAGGACTGCTCTAACTGCTGATGAGAAAAGGTATTTATCAGTTTATATTTAATAAAATAATTGCATTTCCATGTTCTGTGTACTATGGGAGACTAGCTATAGTGAACGCAGGGTCCTGGGTTTAGTAACACTTTAAGGAAGGCATAAGTGGCTTTCATTCACCATCTAGGTAGGGATGGAACTAGTGCATGGTGCAAGACTTAGAGGTTGCTAGGAATATTCCAACTTTAGTGAGTTAATGTGTTGGCAGGTGCAGTTAGCTTTCCTGCCACTAGATGGCACTGTTCCCAATATAGAATGGGTAATGGAAAGTTGTATTAGCTCCCCTTTTATAAAGTCTCACCTTTGATGTTATGAGTGTAGTTAGTGCCAATATAAATGCCAGTGTGGGAGGGGCCCAGGAAGACTGAGCAAGGGGACTGAGATATCCTAGAGCTGCTAAGATATAATCTATTGCAGAGCTGCTCTAAAGTGCTCTTTGCACGAGGTGGTAAAGAGCATGGGAGAAGTAGCTGTAGTCAGAGGCGTAACTGGAACCTTCAGGGCCCAGAAGCAAGAAACCATGAAGGGGTCACCTGACCTCTGGTCCCAGGGCCCATCCTTTCAAGCCCAGGGCCCTTCCTACTGATCCTGGGGTCCTTTACTCCCTTCGCAGGGCCCTTTATTATGGTTACACTGAACACTTTAGCTGTGCATTGTTTTCTGTAGTGTACATTATAGCTATATTTTGTTATTAAATTACATTTCTAATCATATGGGTTTACTCACAATAGTCCCCCTTACAGCAAAAAGCTCTCCTTTACTTATGAATCCACAAAGTTCCCCCTTACATTTGAATATGCAGAGTTTCCCCCTTTACATCTGAACCCCCAGAGTTCCCCTTTACATCTGAACTCGCAGAGTTCCCCTTTACATTGGAACCCCCAGAGATCCCCTTTACATCAGAACGCACAGATTACCCCTTACAACTGAACTTGTAAAGTTCCCCTTTAAATATGAATCCGCAGTGTTCCCCTTTACATCTAAATGCACAGGGTTCCTCTTTAAATCTGAATCCGCAGTGCTCCACTTTGCATTTGAACTTGCAGAGTTCCCTTACACTGTAAGGGGGGGTTCTGAATACTCTGATGTTAGGCAGAACACTGTAGACTCTGGTATAAAGGGTAACTCTGATATAAGGGGATCTCTGGTAACCAGAGCTCCCACTTACATCATAGTTCCCAGCATTCCCCTTTAATCAGGGTTCCCAGGACCCCCATCATCATGAGAGCCCCCCATCAGAGTCTTCAGAATTTCCACTTACACTGTAAGGGGGAGCTCTGTGGACTGTAATGTAAGGGGTGATCTGGGAAGCCTGATTTAAGGGAGGGGAGCTCTAACATAAGGGAGAACACTGTGGACTCTGGTTTAAAGGGGAATTTTAAGGTCAGAGGGTCTCTGCTCACCAAAGCCCCCCCCCGCCTTACTTCAGAGTCCACATAGCACCTCTTACATCTGAGTGCCCTTTGCATTAAAGTCCACATAGCTACCCCTAACATTAGTGTATTCAAAGGCAGGGGAGAGAAGGGAGGTAGGGGGGACACTTCAGTCGCCATGAATGGTGAGCTCACTTACCCCAGGAAGGAGGCTCAGGCAGCCTGCATATTTCCTCCATGATGTAGTTGCCCACTGCTGAGCTTTCCCACCCACTCATCCCTTTTGTGAGGTATAGTGCTGCCAGGGATTGAAGTGTTGGTGGGGATGTGGGCACATAGGAGGGGGGTGGGAGGAGGAGCTCATCCAGCTCTCTCCCTCTTCTCTCCTAAACATGAGCATGGGGGGGGGGGTCTGTCAGTGCTGGGTCCGAGCAGTGTGAGAGAGTAATGTAATCACCCTGTCACCCCCTGACCTTGATCTGCAGTTCCTGAAATGGGGTGCATGGGAGTGCTTAAGCCTGGGAATGAATGTGTCATCTGGGTGCATGCCTGCTGGTCAGAGCTATGGAAGGGACATTGGGATGGGAATGGTATATTATAGAAAGCACCTTGATCCTCCTGACCCTCAGCTACAGATCCTGTGACTTGGTGATGGAAGCTAAATGCTGTGGACTTAGTATACATGGGGATGTGGGCCCAGCTCTGTAATGAGTTTCAAAAACCAGTTCAGTGAACTACACGTTCCAGCCTTCAATAATCTCAGTCCAAGATACTAACAGGATTCAGATGAAAAACACTGACCATACAACAAGTATCCTGCAGCTTACACAGAACATCCAGAGAGCTCAAACGACAAAAGAATAGCAGTATGGGATCTTAATTTAAAATTACAAGTTAGAAAAGTAGCAAATCACATATTTTTACTGGCTAGAAATTAATTGGTAAAGCAGTTTTAAACAAATAATTAATCAAGTATAATGTGTTCTGTAAATGTTTAGTATAATTGATGCATTATTTGTTTAAAATTGCTTTACCAATTAATTTATAGCCAGTATATTTATATGATTTGCTACTTTCCTAATTTGTTGTAATTTTTAATTAATGTTTTAATTGTGTATTTTTTAGTTATCATTTACTAAATGTCTCATTTATCATGTATTCATCCATGTACTGCCTTTATTTCTGCGGGTATGGCAAACTAGGGTTATTTATCTATTCAACAGCACTCTATTCCTCTGTACAGTTTTATTGTGTAACCCAAGTGGAGGAGAGGATCACTGTCACATACACACAGCGCCATGGAAATCCTTGGCTGATTGGATCCTATTTAAATCCACTTGTAGGTCATAAGGGCAGGTTTTAACAAAGAAGGATTGTCCTTTTGAAATGCTTTACTGCCTCCTGTACTGCTCCCTCCTTCCAACAGAGGGGTTTCCACTAGGCAGGGAATAATGGTGGTGGATGCTGGGCATTGACAACTTTTTGACAGCTGTCAAACTGGGTTCTCCTCATGCCGATCTGGGAGGCAGAAGCTGCCAATGTATACTAACAGCTTTATGGTGTCCTCATCCATTCCTTATGCTGAATGTCAAGAATCCTACATGTAAGTGTGCTATTGTATTGTTCAGTAAATCATGTTTATCATACTAATGAGGGTCCTGTACTGCAATTCTTTTAGTATTTGGTCCCAACACTGTGGTGCTCCCAAGCAGAGGAATGGAAATGCAAAGGGAAGACTGCTCAAAGATGTGTGCCTGCGCACATGCCGAAGACTCTGCTAGTATGTCAATGTGTTATTTCATGGAAAAGTTACTGTTAAAGTGTTCCTAAGCCCAGGACCCTGCGTTCAATATATCTGGTCTCCCACAGTACATATAATATGTAAAAGCAATTATTTCAGTAAATATAAATTGCTAAAATACTTTTTCAATCAGCAATTAGAGCAG